TCACCCATCTTCCATGAGTTTTCTAAGATAATCACTAATGGCTCAGACATTTCCTGAGTCAGCTCCTTGAGTATTCTAGGATGTATTTCATCAGGCCCTGGTAACTTGTGTAAATAATTTTTAACTTGTTCTTTCCCTATATTAGCCTCTGATCCTGCCTTATTTTCACTGACATTTACTGTTAGATGTCCAATCACTACTAACCTTTTTGGTGAAAAAAAGACAAAAACGCCATTTAGTACTTCTGCCATCCTTTGTAATTGGATGTAGGTTTCCACTTTTTTGTGGGACTCTTCTTTAAGTTTCACATAATTGAAGATCTCCTGCTTAAGCTAGAGTGGTCTCTTGTTATACTTCCCATCTTTCCTACACAGAGGGACAGTTTGTTCTTTTGCCCTTAATAATGTCTCTTTGAAAAACGGCCAACTCTCTTGAACTGTTTTCCCCTTAGACTTGCTTCCCATGCAAGCTCCCTGAGTTTGCTAAAGTCTGCCTTCTTGAAATCCATTATCTTCAATGTGCTGGGTGTTTTCCCTCCTACCTTTCCTTAGAATCATGAACTCTTACCATTTCATGATCACTTTCACCTAAGCTGCCTTCCACTTTCCAATTCTCAACCAGTTCTTCCCAATTTGTCAAAATCAAATCTAGAACAGCCCCCACCCTAGTGGCTTTCTCCACCTTCTGAAATAAAAAATTGTCTCCAATACATTCCAAGAACTTGTTGGATAATCTGTGCCCCACTGTGTTATTTCCCAACAGATGTCTGGGTAGCTGAGGTCCCCCATCACCACCAGGTCCTGTGCTTTGGATGATTTTGTCAGTTTAATAAAAGCCACATCCATCTCCTCTTCCTGAGGACTGAGCGTGCTCTAACCTACACCAGCGGACAGGCAATCCCTGCTCAGCCTCGGAACAAGAGCAGTACAAAAGTGGCCCCAACTGCAGAAACAGAGTAACTGAGAATCAGGCCCATTAAGTGCAAAACTCAACACTTTAACTATGGAGCCATCACCAACAGCCCCATAGTACATCAAAGACAGACAGACACATATGTATGCAACCAATAATTAAACCGAGTTTGACTCTCTAAACAAGGGAAGACGCTCAATACATTTCCCAACGCATTCAATCACAGGGGTGTGTTTTATGATGTTATACAGTAGGGGTGAGGATGAGCCCAATGAAATTATATTTTCACTTGTAACCTAAGCTTTCCAGAGGTGAGTAACCAGGGCTCTAATTAGGTCCTTCCTTGGTTGCACTGTAGGCAATCAGAACAGCTCCTCCTTACAAATCGAGAGAAAGCTGTGAAAATAGCCTGTCCAATTCCACTGCTGTATATTATTAAAGGACTTTTTCTCACCTCTGATGCTGTACAATGAGGAGTACAGAATTGTTTTGGAATCTCTCTATCAAATACCTCACGGCAAAAAAGGAAAGATTTCAGATATTAATAATAAAGTGTTTAAACCATTTAGGTGGGGAAAAAAGCTCACGCCACCAGTGTCCACTTTCATTCATAGCAACTTCTCAGGCTTTTACGAATTCTGTTTGTGAAACACTGTTACCCGAGGGAAGGTTGTGTTCTCTTTTCATGCGAGAGAACCACCGAACACCAATACTTCGGACGAATTTGCACTCTCGGCCTTTGAAACGGGGCAGAAGCTCATGAGGTGCTGGCACCCAGGCCAGAGCAAAATATTCACAACAGAACCCACTTGGATTTGGGTACTAATTCAGCACTTGGCAGCAGGAACCAGAGAAGAGCATGAAAAGGAGGGGGTCACTGAGGAGCCAGCCTCTGGCTTTGACATAAAAGTGACAGATGCTCTAACGTGGTTCCCAAGGGATTCAGTTCACCAGCTTACGGAGCATAACAGGCGCTCAGCACATTCTGGCCACTTCTCCTCCCTATTCCTGAACCCCGCCCCCCGAATCAGCAGGTTCAGGAGGGTAGTGCAGGCTCTGGCTATGCCAGCGCTATACCCGCTGAAGGCTCCCTCATGATGAAGAATCCCTACCAAAGGGTGGGGAAGGCAGACAGTCTCTCCTCCCTTTGCACCACGGCCTAAGTGGCATAAAGTAGATCGGGGCCAAGAACATGTCCCCAGCTCCACTGAACAAGTTTACAAACTTTGAGCCAAATTATAGTTTCAAGTCAAACCTAAGTAAAAGTCAGAGTTCTGCATGGTGAAAGTAGGAGAATCTGGGCAGTTTCTAATTGGTTTCACCCATCTCTGGTGCTGCAGAAGAATAAAAAGGCTGAAGGGTGGGGAAAGGGGTTTATATACATTAATCATAAAACAGCACCCTCATTCTGCAAATGGAGACATGTAAGGTCGAGGGAGATTAAGTGACTTGACCAGTGTCACACAATGAGTCAGTAGCAGATTCAGCAACAGAACCTAGATCTCCTGAGTCCCAGTCTTCTTTTAATCAGCAATGCTGCCTTAAAATACACAGAGGTGGCATCGCATCTATGTTAGTTATCTGAGTTAGACAGCATGGTACCAGGTGGGAACAAACAGTAACCCACTTCATCAGGCTTGAGCCAAATGCTAAGTGGGCAGGTGTAGAGAGGTCTAATCAGCCAATCATCCTTTCAGCTGCCACTTCACTGCCCCTTAGAGGAGCACTAAGGGTAAGAAAGCACTGTGTACAGTTTCTGCTCCAGGAGTGACCTTTTCCTGGTGACATCAAATCTTCTGATGACTACCAATGCATCCTACGCACTCTGCCAGTCCTTGGCATTATCTCCTTTTGGATCTCAATAAGTCTTTGTTGCACAGCTAACCTGTCTTCTCTGCTATGTGACAGATGTTCCTTTTCAGAGGAACCTGCGACTATAACATCAACCTTATGCACAATCTCTCTCCTTGATATGGGCTCCTGACCTTCACTAAATCTACAAAAATGACCTACAACATGGCCATTTGTGATATAAGCAGAGAAAAACCCAACTGCTATCTATTGCTGCATTTATTACACAAAGCACTCAGCTGGTACCAAGCACTTGGTTTTATTTCCTTTTAATTAATAAAATCTCTTCTATTCCAGATCCTTGTTCGCCTTTTTCTGGTTTGAGCTACAGAACACATTTAAATTCAGGAATTAGTTGACTGATAGGTTCATACACGAACAAACACACAGTTCCCTGCCACTCCCTGCTTTTAATCTGATGTAATTGTGCTTACCAAGCAAGAAGATGAAACCTTAGACTTCTTTAATGCTTCACAAAATGCCTGTGGGAATGCAGAATAAATTTCTAACTCCACCTTTTCAGTGTCATTCTTTTAATGCCTCTTGTTATTAAATCAAAGGAGTCCGAGGCCAGATTAATCAAATGCTTGTGTGTGTGTTTTCAGATTCTTACCAAAATATTCCTATTCATTAAAATATGCTGAATAGATAGATTTAAAAAATAAATTCTAGTGGCAATTATCAAAACACTGATATTAATAGAAAAACAGCACTTGCAGGGATCAACAGCATAATCCAGTGTTTCAAAAAACTGACATTTAAAATAAAAGTATCAAAGTTCAATGCAGTTATCTATAAAAATGGAAAATCAGTAATTTTATCAGTAGAACTATTGATTCATCTACTTCTGTATTTTAATGGGAATAATTGTCATTTACAAATTTAAAATTAGCCCCTTTTTATAGATAAGTAGTGTTCTAGTTTTATAGATAAGATGCTATTCTTCTGTTAAAATGTGTTTAAATGAAGAGAAGACAGATTGGATTAAATACTCAAATCATCTCCTTTGAAAGGAAATGAACAAATTTAATACACAGATTCAGACAGTGTGTGCGTCTATTCCATGTTATAATGTACTGAATAATAGGATGACTTGGATTCACAAGGAGGAATTAATTAGTGGCGGATGGGAGTTGCATCAGCCCTTTCTCAGACTCAAGGATCAGGATAAGCATCCAAACTTCTCAGTGTTTAATTAAACTTCTGAACTCTATATGCAAGTGCACGCATGCACAAACACACTTAACAGTACATCACACACCTTCTATAAAATATTTTGTGTATATACACACACGCATCCATTTATATATACACATTGTCTACAATGTATATATACACACTGGATTTAACATTTCCATGACTTCCCTTTAAACCTTTCGAGATTCACCCATTTCCTGACTTACAACTGTGACTACAGACGGTTTCTGGAACTCAGCAATTAGAGCCTGGGTGGGGAGCAGGGTAAGACACTGGATTTGTTGCAACCTTCCTAACAAAAATGGCATCAAGCTTTAAGGTTATCATTCCATGAAGATGAATGGGAGCAGGTTGCACTCCTCAGAGCTACTGCTTCAGTTTGTCTGTATGCACATTAACCAGCCTCACATCAGTTACAGTGAAAAGGATATTCTTGCAAGGAGAACAGTGGGAAATGTTTTCTGCAGAATTTGAGGGGTGTGTGGCTGGGGGGATGGGGATGTTAACAACAACATTGGGGATGCTAAAATTCCATGGATTCCTAAAGGCTCTGCCATAAGCACCAGCTGTCAGATGAGCTTGCAAGCATTTACAGACTGTTCCCATTAAGCCAAGCGAGGTGGCCTTTGGCAATTTAGGAATGGGCTGACAATTACGAGAAAAAGGACACTTGGCAGTAACCTGCTCTTAGTGCTGCAGCGTGCTGCCACGTTCCACCTCCGAGGTGTCTGCACTTCAGCGATGGATAATGGAAATTTCTTGCAAAACATTTTGGAACCCTTCAGGATACAAGACACCTTCCAAGAGTGCAAGATTATTAATGTCAATACATGTGTTATCAGAAGCAAAAAAGACAAGCTCACACATCTGTTTCAGGATATTTGCTACCTCCTTTAAAAAGGTAATCCAATCTTCAAATATGGTGCCAAGCAACTAGAAACGGTCTTTCATCTTTAAGGGGTGGGAGAAAAGGCAAATGATTTACTCCTCAAACATCAGGAAAGCTAACTGGCGTATGAATTAGGAAACCACACACATACCTGCTAAACACAGAGATGCTGCACTTGAACTGCTGTGAAAAATAAACATCTCCACTGATGGAACAGACATTGTTTCTCCTCTTTGTGAAACTAGTAACTGAAGCAATTCCAGTAAAGATGGCAAACCATCGATGACATATCCTCAGAGAACAGAGGAGTTTCCTTCCCAATTCACCTTCAGTAACAAAAGAAAAACCAGGGATGGCAGGGGCCGGCAGAATGGCTACATTTATTTTTCCCCATCAGGTTCATCCACAGTTGACATTCTCCAGAGATTTCAGTGGTTCTGTAAATCCTGTGGTCCTGGAAATCCTTGAATGTTTTGGAGGGAACAAGTTGCTGCGCTGGTCCATTGCTTATTCCAAACTGGTCAAGAGATCGGGCCTGGGACCTTGAGAGAAAGAAAGAAACAGACTGTTACATGGGATACACAGACGGGAGAGGGAAAAGCAATCATTCCGTCCACACTGGATTTACTACACATTCCAAATAAAACTTATACCCACACCAGTTTGTATCTTTCAACTGACCTTTGCATGTTACTAAGAGCCTTTTATAAATACTGTATAATCTAAACACTTGTATGCCAAGAAAGAATTATTGGATTCACAAAGCTTAACAAGATCACCACAATTTGCTCTGAAGAGCTAACAGTTCAAGATGCTTTACCAGATGCAGGTGATATGAATGATAAAGTAATCAAAGTGCCATGGGCTGAAACAACTTCCCATCTACTTGTCAGATCCTTTAAAAAGCCCTGTTTTTTGTTTTTCCTCCTTCCATTTAAAAAGAAAAGGGAAAGTTTGCCTGCCCTGGGAAAGGCATCAGAGCGACAAGGAACGGAGAGGATATAGATGCTTGAAAGTAGATAGTTAACTGAGCTTACATGCCTTCACACTTCAGGAGAAAAAGTCTACACACAGTTTACACACCAGTACATGGCGGGAAAGTTTTGGCAAAGGAACTGCAGAGAAGAGGAACAGTTAGGAAAATAAATTCACTGAAACATAGCTTACCCACATCAACTATATCTGGGTTATGCCCCTCTTTCTCCTCCCAATCCTCGGCTAACAAAAGCGTATTTCAGGCCAGAATCCCATACCTTTGCTTCTATGACGTAACACCTTACTGCATGGGCCTAGTCATTGAATAAAGGTACTATTCAGTGCGGGCACGGGTCACACACTCTGGGCTTCTATTCCTGTCAAACCTCAGCAATTTGACAGAGAGTAAAGCTATGTCTACACTAGCACTTTTGTCAGTAAAACTTAGTGAAAAAAAACACACCTTTGCCCAACATAAGTTGCACCGACAGAAGAGCCGGTTTAGACCACCACTCGCTGGAAGTGATTTAATTATGCCGGCGGGAGAGCTCTCTCCCCTCAGCATACAGCGGCTACACGGGAGATCTTACAACAGCGCAGCTGCATTCGTACAGCAGTGCTGCTATAAGGTCTCTAGCGTAGACATAGCCTTATGGTGGATAAAAGATTTTAGACACCAAAACTGCTACACAGGTGAATATCCAGATGCTGAAAACGGAGAGCTACTGCAGAGTGAGGTGTGAAAGAAAACCCCAGACAACTCTTTGTACCGGGGTGCTTTTTTATTCCTCTTTATTAAAGGCAGCAAAGATCAGCTGACAACACAAGGATTATTTTTCTTCCTTCAACAGCATGGGAAGGTGGCTCCCTTTTTCCACGTCCAAGCAAATGAGCAATGAAAGCTCAGACAAACCGCCTCAATAGCACAGGGCCAAATAAAAAGTGATAATCATTTGTTTTGTTAATAGTGTCAATGAAAGTACAAAAAGAAAACCCATGACATAATCCTTCCCAGGCCTTCTCTTTAAGGCTTGGATTCAGGAAAGTGCATGCTTAAAATTATGCACTTGCTTAAATCCCATTGACTCTGATGAGGTATAAGCACTGTCCCGAACAGAGAAGCTCTCGATTGTATTAAACCACAAAACAACACTGCTTATGCTACGTCCTCAATGAGAGGGGAAAAAAAGGTGTATTCTTAACTTGAGTTAATTTACAGAAGATAAAAGGTTAGTGAAGACAAGATGGGTGAGGTAATATCTCTGATATCTGTCTAATGTCCTGGGACAAACATGGCTACAACAACACTGTACAGTGCAGACAAGGCAGTTTGTAGTCTTCACATGAGCTTCAGGTCGAGTTAAATGGCTCCACCATAATCTAACTGGACCAGCTAACTCACGTGAAGACTACAAACTGCCTTGGCATCTCTAGGATTTTACCTTGAGTTAGCTAACTCGAGTTTTAAAAAAAAAAAAAAAAAAACACACGCACACACTTTTTTCCTCCCAATAGAGAACCTGATCCAAAGCCCAGGGAAGTCAGTGAGAGTCATTCACTTCAATGAGCTTCAGAATGGTCTTGAATCCTATGAAATTCCTTTTCATACACACACAGCAAACTTCATCGACCGTGACAGCTATACAATGCTGAAAAGGCCTGGAGAATTAAACTTCTACCAAAAAAAGATAATTACTGTCTAAAAGCCTTTAGCTGAAAGTGTTCGCTATCCATCTAAGTTCCTGCAAAACGTGTGGACCCAGGAAAAATACTAATCTCTGTCACCATAGAAATTAGAGGTGAAGAGACTTACATTTTGCCTTGCAGTAGGTTTTTCAGTGGTTCTTCGAGTCCAATTTTAGATTTCTCAAGAAACGGCTTGCACCATTTCTTTTGGGAGACTAACCTAAAAGTTCTCACTGTCAAGATTAATTTTCTTTTGCTCATTTTCATCCCTTAACTCCCAGCAAAAGAAAAAAACACACACACACACACACACCCCAACTTGGACCAGCCTGGATTATTTTTCTTCCTCCTCTACAATTATCTGTATTAAGTAGCACCCAGGGGCCCCAAATGAGATCAGAGCTTCATTGTGCTAGGTGCTGTACATGCACACACAGTGATAGTCCCAAAGTTTACAACCCAAACTAGACAAAACAGACAAAGGGTGGGATGTAGGAAGCATCGTCTGAGGTAGAGAGAGATGAAGGACTCCATCCTACCCAATCCTGAGCACTCTGACCCTGCTCCAGCAAAGCACTTAAGAGCATGTTTAAGTAAATGAACACTTGGATTGAAGCCACTGGGACTGTCACACTCTTAATTTTAAATTGGAGCAGTCATGCTCATCACCTCACTGCACCGAGCCTGGGTGTGTCTACAGTTTAGAGAGAGCCGCCCAGCCGGGGTAGAGAGACTTGCGCTACCTTGGCTAGAACTAGCATGTTAGAAATAGGAGTCTGGACACTGAGAATCAGGGGGCATCTCAGGCTCTCAAGCCCACCCGACCCCCTGGGTCCAATCTTGGTTGGCTAGCCTGAGTTTCCACCAGAGCCACAATGCCCATGCTGCTATTTTTAGCACACTAGCTCAAGGTGAGCTAGAGGAGTCTGTCTACTGGGGCGGGGAGCCTCATTCCCAGCTGCAGCGTACACATCCCTAAATGACGTGCCCAAGATCAAACAGGAAGTGTACAGCAAAGTCAGGAAGTTTCCCACGTGCTAGTCCAGTGCCTTAACCACAAGACCATTTCCCCCCTTGCTGATGAAGGCCATCCAATACTTGCATATGGCAAGAACCAGTGAAGCTCGTGTAAAAGTACAGGAGGAAGTGCGGTAGATGGTAAACTAAACAACTCTGTAGACGATATCAGCTTTAGAATATCAACAACTAACCTTCAACCTAAACCTCACTTTCAAGGGCGACATATAAGTGAGTCACACAAGAAACAAGATAATGGAAAGTTAAGAGTGCCACAGAATTCTGTGTGGCTAGGGGAGTCCAGGTGATTAATGACTGCATGGACCAAAGTTAAGACAGTCACTACCAATTAGTTAAGGAATTCAGTGAGAGGACAGAAGAGAAAGGGAGTTTCATCTGTTAAATATTTACAGTTAGAGTCCCAAATGCATTGGTTTCAGCAGCTACACCAACAGACAGTTTGGTCCATGGTTTCTCAGGCCATGTCTACAGTGAGGATTTGAGTAGTCGGGGGCTACATACCAGTGTGAAAGCCCATAGAGTAGACAGACAAAGTTGCAATTTGTATCAGTATATCTTACCCCTGCCTGCCTGAAATCAAAGTCAACTGCACCAGTACAGACTGCAGATGAAAGTGGCTTTACAAACACTAAGGGTTTGCACCCATGCAGCTATACCACTGACTGGCTTGGTGGCTATAACGGGACAAACCCACAGTGTAGTATTCTGCACAGTTATCATGCGCTCTATTTATAGGTTCTAATGTGTCAGCTGCTGTTCTCTGAATTGAGGCCAGGAAAGGGCAGAGAGAAGCAAGTCTGAAAGGGTCAGCCAGGTAGATTTAGGCCTCAGATTTACATTTTGCAAAAACCGAAGCAGTTTGACAGAATATCAGTGCAACAGAAAAACATTTGATTTTTTTACTCCAGAAAGGGCTCTTCCCCCATTCCCCGCCTCATGCACCACACAGAGAACACACATCTATTATTGGCCAATGTTGTGTTAGTACAAGAGAACCAAAGAGCAAAACTGACTAGTATATTTTTATTGCCCACGCTGCAACGTAAGAGACGACAATCTGCATTAGCAGAGCAAGTTAGATTTCTAAATTTATTTTTGTTTTAATATGGAAAGGTGAAATTAGTAACCCAAATAAGGGAAATCTGTTATTTAAAAATATGATTTACAACTAGTACTCTTTTAACCTTGAAGAGATTCAAAAAAAAAAAAAAAAAACAACAACAACAAAAAGGAGCGCTACGTAAGTGCTAAACAGTATAAAATTCTAAGCACTAACGTAGTCTTGGACATTTTTTAAAGTAAATTTTAATAAGGCTATGCCCCATCGGCACCAGCTGGCATAGCTGTGTTAGCAGAAACAGTTTAAAAAGAGTTTCCTAATAAGGGATAAAACTGTAGCATTGATGGAGCTAAAGGGAAGTATTCTATAGTAAACATTATCTGTCTTTGTATGCTATCCAAGACAGGAGTGCTGCTATGCCTTGGAAGGGTGTACACAACAGAGGGAGGGGAAAAAATGATTAATGTGATCAAAATGTTGTACGACCCTCAAAAGAGAATTCTGACTCCCATACATACACACACACACAAATATCATGCTAGGTAATTAGAGAGCACCATCCTGAAGTGATACTGAGCAGGCTTCCTGATTGCTAGTTTCTTGCACCACTTCCAATTCTGACAGAGCTACTATGCACTGTGTGTGTGTCTGAACTAGCCTGTACACTCTTTGGGGCACGGAGCCATAGAATCACAGAAATGTAGGACTGGATCCGACTTCAAGAAGTCATCTAGTCCAGCCCGTTGTGCTAAAGCAAGACCCATTATGCCTACACAGGTCTGG